TATATATATACGAGGGGCATATCAAACGATTTTTACCTGACCATGAAGGAATAAAGGTGGAAAGCTTAAATTTGGGGCAAAAACTAACAATTATCTTCCTAGAATGCGAGTCAATTTTGGCAAATTTCTGATTACTGGTTTTACCACCAGCGCACTGTAAGAGAATGGGGGTATGTTGTTCTCCAGTTTCAACATAAAAAAGAAGAAAATTGAGCACAGGGCAGTAATGAAGTTTTGTTCTTGCAAGGCAAGCAACAACAGGGCATTTTTACGAAGATGCATGTCGCATATGGAACTGATTGCCCATCCTATGCTGTGATGAAATTTTAGTGTAAAATAAAAAATCAAATGCGGATTCGTGGACATTGAAGATGGCCTCTGTGATGGTCGCCCAGTGACAGCAACAAGAGAATGTATTGAAAATCAAGAAACGTGTGTTGTCTGAGAGGCGGGAAACAGTCGAACTTTTGGGCAAAGAAACTATGCTTAGCATTGGATCAGTTGAACGAATCCTTAATGAACATTTGAATCTGGCCAAGGTTTCTGTGAGATGGGTCCCACGTTTGTTGACTCCTCCTCAAAAAGGGCAACGTGTGGATTATTCTTAAGAATTGCTTGGTCTGTATGAAAAGGATGAAACTAAATTTTTTGAAAGACTTGAAACCGTGGATGAGACATGAGTCCTCCACTATGATCCTGAGTCAAAATCTGCATCAAAGCAGTGGAAATCTCCCTCGTCTCCAATACTAAAGAAGGCAAAGATGCAGCCATCAAGAGGAAAAGTGATGCAATCAGGGGGCTTTTTGGGACCAAGAAGGGGTGATTATGACAGAATATTTTGAAAATGGATATACGATCACCGAAGACCATTATTCTAACCAGCTAAAAAATTACCAGATACTATAAAAGAAAAACGCAGAGGAAAGATCCGAAAAGGCATTTTGCTGCTTCACGACAACGCACCAGCTCACACGTCAAGAAAAGCTGCAGAAATTGTGCGAGACAATGGCTATGAAATTTTGCCACATCCATCCTATTCTCCAGATTTAGTTCCGTCTGACGTTTTTAAATTCCCCAAACTAAAAAGAGGATGTAAAATGAAGGCATTTGAAAGTGATGATGCGGTCAAAGGAACGACAGAGGGCTAGTTTCCTGACATTGAGAGGGTCCTCTATTCTCAAGGTCTTTTCAAGGTCATACATCGATGGCAAAAATGTGTAACTGTGGGAGGCAACTACATAGAGACAGACTAAGCTTAGTACCAAAAGTCAGGTTTATACCTTTATTCCTTCATGGTCAGGTAAAAACAAATGTTGGTATGCCCCCTCGTGTGTGTTTGTGTGTGTGTGTGTGTGTGTGTGTGTGTGTGTGTGTGTGTGTC